ATAGATATATAGAGACACGATTCGGTAGATAGGATTAGCTAGACAGGATTAGCTAGATAGGCTTGGAAGGATAAGATAGCTAGCTAGATGATGATGGATCGACGGACGGAAGATGGGATAGATAGATGGGACGGGATAGATGGATAGGATTCGATAGATAGGATTAGACATGTAGTCAGGATAAGAAGATCGATTGGATTAGTTGGGCTTGGATTGGATAGATAGACAGACAGCTAGGATTGGATAGATAGGACTAGACAGATAGGATTGTATATGTATTGGATTGGATAAATAGTTTGGATAGACAGGATCAGATAGATCAATGGACTGATGGATGGATGCATGGATGGAGGGATGGCTACATAGCTAGCCAGTTAGACAGACAGACAGACAGACAGACAGACAGACAGACAGACAGACAGACAGACAGACAGACAGACAGACAGACAGACAGACAGACAGACAGACAGACAGACAGACAGATAGATGGATAGATGGATAGGCAGCAGTTCTATATTCCTTCAAACTGCTGGCTTCTGTTTGGGGTTAGGAAACGAATCCGTATTGGCAATGAGGCATCGTTTCCGTATCGGCTTCCTCTCGTGGTTTGGACTGGAAGAGTTGATCCCGGCTCTGAAGCTTCGAAGGCCCTGGTCATGGAGAAGCTACTGGACGTGGACAAGATGCTGGCCGAGCCGGGCTCCCAACCGGAGCGCCAGGCGACAGGCATGGCTTTTTTTTTTCGGGCATGGCTTTTGTATGATGTAAACATGCGTGTATGCACGCGTATGCACGTGCATGCATACATGTTTGTCTTCCTCCTATCTAGGAGTGCACTGACTTCTTTACAGAGGCTGCTTTTTGAAAGAGAGGGTTCCTGTTCACCAAACCGTGTTTGGTGGGAGGGCGGGATGGCAGCCGAGTCATCGCACCTGAGGCACATCCCGTATCGCATGGGCTGGAAGCGCACAGAGGCGCGGGGGCTGTTTAGCGCAACTCTTCCTCAGCTAGACGAGGTTCGGTCAAGGTTTCCTCACCAATTCAAGACCTCGGAACAAAGCTCAAAACGGCTCATACCTGGATTATAAAAGGGTTGAATTCGAGTTTTAGCTCTCTCTTCCATTATCCCATGCAAAGCTAAACTCTCGCATGGTTTGCGTTTTCCACTGTTTGTGGGATAAATAAGAAGCCTTCAGTGGAAAATGCAAACCCTGGCGTCACTGTCGCTGGTCTGTCCCTGCCGTCTTTCGGGTGGCAAACCCCACCTCGCGGCTGGTTGTCGAGGTGTCCAATCACGGCAACTTCAAGCCGGCGCTTCAGCGTGTGGCTTTGGGCGACCGGAAGACGAGGAGGGGGCGCTGAGAGCGGCCGGGGTCGTTGAGCGCGGCCGGGGTCGCTCGTGCGTGTTTATCCTTCGCGGCAGGTCCATGATGATCACAGGTCTCCAGCAGATTGCTGGTTCCCGGGCAGGCCTTGCTTTCGTTTGTCAGAATCGTGCCATTTATCAGAAGCGTGCCAGCAGGCTTACTTACATCCAAAAGCCATCCGCTTTCCAAGGGGATCCTCTAAATCAGCTTGTAAAGGATATTTTCAATCTGGCCCTCAAGCGTGAATCCCAGGATATTTTCAATCAAGCCCTTTTTTTAAAATGGGGCTGCCCCCTAGTGAGAATCCTTCGCATGTGGTGACACCCTTGAAGCGGGGCTCCCATTCGTCACCTAGCCCCACACCTGAGGCGATCTCGATGAGTGCTTCCGTTTCGTGGAGTTCGAGCTGGGCGGGCTCAAGTTCCTGACCAAGGTGCGAGAAGCCTTGGGTGGGTGTGAGAATCGAGGGACCGGACCCTCAAAATGCTGGGGATTCCCAGTTGGTTTCCAACTGGGCGTGTCTCAAAATGGAAGGAAAACCAAAAGGAAGCCAACCGTTTCGAGAACCCCCCAGCTGAAACAGGTTTCCCTGACAAACCGTATGCACACCTTGGGACTTCATGCAACAGAGGAGTTGCAGGGGATGAGTTTGCCCTCTAACCTCGGCAGGCTCGAGCTTTTGCTCAGCAAGGTGGCAAAAACGTGGATGTGAACCACAAGAAGCTTTGTCGCATTGTGTAGGTTCTGGCAGGTTTTGCAGGTCTTCATTTTGCATCGCCTTGTTTTGTCGAATGTGTGCCTTAGGAACTTCTACTATCAGGATGAGGCGCATTGTGTGATCAGCCCGCTGGATGTTGCCCAGTCCACACTGTTTGAAAACCGTGCTGTTTTTCCAACATGGATAATCAAGCGGATTTTCGCAATTGTCCAGGGTGTGTATGGGGCCAATCTCCCATATCTTCCCACGTAAGCGGGGGCACTACCCAAAAGGGCCATCACGGTTGGGTGTCATAAACATACGTTTGCTCAAGCTCATTGTGTACCAGAAGCTGCAGCGGTAGCGACCTGCATGGAAGGTCAAAGCATTGTCCACCTACTTCAAAATGCTTCTGGGCAAGGCTGCCAGGCGCTCAAAGCAAAGGGTTGTGTTTACGCATGCTTAACCTCTATTGTTGAAATTGCCTCCTGTTTGTTTCCCTTGAAAGGGGGGCCCATGGTCAGAACACCCCCACCAGAAGATTTGTTTTTGGCCCAGACAGGTTTGGAACACTCTCTAGGGTACCACCATTGAGGGGCGCACAATAACGAGTCAATGGTGTGCAATGCCTCCAGGTATTTTGAATGTCGTGAAGCATCCAGCTTTTGGATGGCGGTCAAAGAGTGTAAAGTACCCCAACAATGCAGGGGCCCTTGGCTGAGGCCAACTTTGCACTTCAAAAACGGCGGGCCTAGGATTTTCGGATTGCGAGCTCAGGACAAGAACGTCTTGGTGCTGCAGCGAAGTGGAAAGCTTCACCAGGCGGTGGTTCAGCTTTTTCTCGGATTGGTGGTGAAGGGGTTTTGTGGAGGCTGTCTTCCCAAAGAAAACACCAAGAGGGGCTAGACAAATGACCCACACCACCAATCCTTACGGATTGATGGTGACCTGGTGGAGGATTACACAATTTGACATCGATGTGCAGATTAAGCATTTGGTATGATAGCATGTTTTTTGCTAGCAGCCTTTGGCTCTTCCCAGCTTGATAGACAAAACAACTGAGAGAGAAACATGATCAAAGCCAGCTCCAGCCATGTGCAACACACATCAAGGAAGACGGCACATGCGTTGCCGCTGCAACGCAATCCTCACAGTATTGACATGAGAGCCACTTACATCAATACGCTGTTAGCTGGCATCGTTGCTTTGATTCATTGATTCCCTCTGGCGACATGCTGCTTTCTGCCTGAAGCCTAGATTTGAATGCTTAGGCCATCATCGCCCCGAGGTAGAGGTGAAAGCAGCTACTTTGGGCTTGCGAATGGGCCATGTTCCTTTTGAAGAATGGTTAGAGAACATGAACCCCCATGTATTTGTCATGTCCGTCCAACCAATTTGAAACTCAGAATCAAATGGTCGTAGAACAATTGGGAACCCTCCCTCCCCTAGCTTCCCCCTCCACCTGTTTTCCAGCTTGAGCAATTCCGACTCAAAGGAGTGATCGGATACTTAGCAAGTGGTTAGTAAGCCTTAACCCACTGACTGGAGACTTATAATGGCTGTTGTGGGTTATCTCAGATATCTCACCAGGCTTACCAACCACTCACCTGACGTGCCCGATCGCCCCTTTCATGAGACATCCTTTGTGTGCGGCGCTTGTGTCAAAAGCTGAGGCTGTGAGGTTAGGGCGGATCCCCCGAGAGATCGTCTTTGCGGTGGCCAAAGGCGAGAGTGAGAGGAGAGTTTGGTACTCCACGGGTTTGTCTCGAAAAAGGGGAAATTCAGCAAGATGGTGGTGTTCCTTTGGTTTCCCTTTGAAATTCTCAAATAACGAGACACTGAAGTGGGTCCTAACGAATTGGTTTCTTTCAAATGCTGGGCTTCATTTCTCAAAGGAGATTCCTGAAAGAACCAACGATGCTAAAACCAGCGTGGCATGACGAGAAAGCAAGCCGATTCTCAGAGAGGCAGTGTGGTTGATCGCCCTTTTCCCGACCCAGGGTCGCATTCACCCGCGGAGGTATGTACGGCCGGTCCAAGCGATGCTTCAAGTTAGCCACTGTGAGAGTCATGAAGGAGCTGAATCATCAGTGCGCCTGCGGCATCGACTTTGCATGTCCAAAATCCTTCCGAGAAGCTGAGGTATTGGCTCAGACAGAAGGCCAGAAGACAGATACGGATCCTGTGGATCACTCGAATCAATGCCGTGGGAGCCTCAGGGGAATGAGCAAAGCAAGACACCATACAAATGTTTGGTTTACCCTTTTGGCTTCCTTTTCAAAACCCTCCAAAACGGTGTTGCGTATTTTTTTGGACCCCCCATGCAAACGCCGACCAATATTCCTCAACCAGGCGTCAAGGGAGCACGGCCTGATCTACAGACGACTCATCACAGGTTTGGCGCGTGCCAATGCCAGCCTCTCAGCAATGTGCCTGGCTTGACCGTGTGAAGATATGCTGCACAAATTGGTTTGCTCGCAATGCAAACATGCAGACATGTGCACATGCAAACAATGAATCTCTTGTGCGCTGCAAAATTGACATCCTGTGCTGCACGTTGTGCCTGATGGCTTCAATGATCCTGCATCCTTCTGCTTGCCACGTATCCGGGGTTGAATTCTAAGCATCTGAAATAGATTTGTTAGATGTGCGGTGCAAGGAACTCATGGATGCATGGTTGGTGAATCTGGACTGACTGCATGCCCACGGCACGCACGCTGGCACAGATGCACGCACCCCACTCACTTTTTCCACTCCACCCCACCCACCTTTCCACACGCCCAACACCCCACCCCACACCCCACACCCCACACCCCCACCCACCCACCCACCCCATTCTCCAGCGAAGCCTTTACCACGTGCAAGGTCAAGTCCGTGGCCAGGAATTGGCAAAGATGCAGTCTCGAAAGCAACCGCTAGCGCACCCACACCGGCCCACGCGTAAGCGCATCACTCACGCATGCACGCACATAACGCACATGCACGCACATGCACGCACATGCACGCACATGCACGGACATGCACGCACTGCACGCGCATGCATGTACACAAGCAAACAATCTTGGGGATCTAAGACCACTGGGAAGGGCATTTGTTTGTTAAATCGCTTGTCCACTACCGAGATGGCAGTCGACCGCAAGAGCCTGTGCATTTTGGCGGAGACAGAGCCGGTCAGCTTCAAGTGCGTGGTGGATGAAGCCAAGAGGCAGGGCAGGGTAGTGGCGCATGCAGGAACACAATCTTATCTTACGTGCAGATATTTCTTCACATACACATGCATACGCACACAAACACACACACACACACAGGCGTATGCACACACTTACATGCATGTGTGCATAGATACATAATAGATACATAGTACATAGATACACAGATGTGTAGATGCATAGATACATAGACACATAGCCACATACGTAGATACATGGCTGTGAGTCACTTCCCTGATATATTGAGGGGCACACCCTTCGTTCAATACCCCGGTTCAGTATTGAATAGGTTGTTGGCTTGACGTTCAATACCTGTGGTTCAAGACCCCTTGATCATCAAAATGTTAGCAGATCGGTTTAAGTAGTCAACAGAGTTTCTAATGCCGTGTGATCGGTCGAAGTAGTCAATTGACACACACACACACACAGTCACAGTAGACTGCCGCTGCAGAGAGCCCACCCACTCCCGAGCAGCTCGCAGAGTTTGTGCCCTGCCGACCGAGCCGCATGTGAGAACTTCCGCTACTGCTACTGCTACTGCTACTGTTTATGCAGCTGCTATTGATGCTGCTGCTACTTCTCCACCAGTACTGCCTGCTGCTACTGCTTCTTTTACTACTACTACTACTACTACTACTACTGCTGCTGCTGCTGCTGCTGCTGCTGCTGCTGCTGCTGCTGCTGCTTCTACTACTACGGCCAAAACATCCCGCTTGCCCGCGACGTCTGCGACCGCCCCCGCCCCGACCCTTTAAAAACGTGGCAGGCGTGGGAGCTTGTAGACCTGTGTGTGGTGAACTCCCTCAAAAACTTGGGGGTCGAAACCTGGATTTGGAGCACCCTGTCTTGGGTTTAAACCCTAAACCCTAAACCCTAAAAACCCTAAACCTAAACCCTAAAAACCCTAAACCTAAACCCTAAAAACCCTAAACCTAAACCCTAAAGGCAGCGGCAGACATCCCCATAAAGATGCTTGTGGGAGAGCCGCGTGTTTTGTGGGTACTACTACTACTACTGCTACTAAATGTATATTTATGCATGCGCACATGGATATCTAGGAATTTCGTCAAGCACCATTAAAGGCCATGCTTGTCCCATGGCAGCATTTGGTATGGCTCTCAATCAGTCTTGCTTCTCAAGGATAAGCCGCCTCGTTGCAGGATGACGAAGCCGCAAACTATGGAATGGGCAGAGCACCAAGATCTTGCTTGCCAGCATAGACGTTGGTTGGACAGCCTAGAGTTCTGCTTCTTGATTTGCAGAGGCCAGAAACCTGTCTCGATTCTGAGCCGCGCAGTGCATCGCCAGCGTGGACAAAAGCCGGAGTCGAAGGTCTTGTGAACGATGGGACCCGCGGCATGTACCTGCCAGTACTTTTTTTGGCAAGCGATATGCGTGAGAAATGCAGGTTGTGGAGAGCACTCCGGAGAGCATCCTCGAGAAGCAGCGCTGGGCTCAGACATGCCATGGGGTTTGTGAAAGCCCCTGGCGTAACCCAAACCTGAGGGGATTTCGTACTAGTCGGGGAGTCTGGCATACGTCAAAGTCTGGCATACCTCCAGGACAGCCTGGGCTGTGCCGCACGGCTTCGCGTCGAGTCGGTGCGTTTTTGCGGATTCTGAGGCCCATGATCAAAGAAGGCCGGCTTGGATCGCAGTTCTTTGGGGAACCACAGTGGTGGAGCTTGACTCCTCCCACCCAAATGTCAGTGTCGACTAAAACTCAAAGGCTACATGTCAGGCGGAGTCCCTGCCAACGCCTTGCCCAGGTTCATAGTCCGTTTCAGCCTCACACTTCTCAAGTGCAAAGCGTCGCATGGGGGTTGTTGACCCTGGTGCGACTCCCTTCGAAAGGGTCACTTTTGCGGACACTGGACACCAACATTGGCACATGTTCTTTTTCAGCAACCCTGTGGACACCAGTGGGGATGGATGGAACCCTACAAACTGGGACAAGCAGGTGCGACATGCATTTTGTGAATCCGCAATATTTGAAAGCACTAGAGTACTTGTAAACCAACATGTCTTCCTTAGACAAATAAAAGTTTGGACAGCTACAATCCATCATTTCTCTCCCCTTTCCCGTTGCCCTGCGCAGCGTGAACCGGTGAAAGTAGATGGCGCAATTCCCGGCACAGCGGACCGATGCACCCGGTAGCTGTCTTGTGATGTTGAGCCTCACTCTCGGCTTCAGCTGCTGCACGACGTTTTGGACGTCTCGTGGAACTCCTCAAGAAGGCCTGCGTCGACCCAGGGAGCTGCGGGCCCCGGAAACACAAACATGGAGGCCCCTGACAAAGCTCACAAGCTGCAAGTTTACGTGGAAGGACTCAACAAAAGCTCCCCCAAGAGAAGATTCCTCTATGAATGGTTTTCCAAGGTTCCATGCTCAGAGCGCACTAGGCGCAAGTCCAGAACATTGGCCTTGCACTCCAAAAAAAATATGTCAAGCAGCGGCAGCTTCAGAATGCAGTCATCACACTGCATACGGGTTTGTCCTCAAACTTATGGTTTTGAACGTATCGGTATTTTGAGACAGAGAAAGGCATGAACTGAAAGCGTGACAGGTCCAGAAGGAAGTGGACTCTGCCGATGATGGCCCCTGGGTGAGCCAGACATGTTCTTGTGACCATTGCACAAGCGCCAGCCAAGCGAATGTTTGGCGCAGGTGCTCCAATGGCAAGCTGGGCAGTTGATCCTGGGGAAGTTTGAACTGGCCAGAAGCTGAATGAGCACATAGCGTTAAGATTGCCGGACCAGGCAGACACTGAAACACATGTTTTGAATTAAATTAGTGAAACATAGTGAAATAGTCTGTGAATCAAAATAGTGAGTGAAATATCTAGTGAGTCAAAATTGTGAATTGGGAAACATGGATTTGCAGTTTGTGACTTCAATTAGTGAATTGAGAATGTGGGTTTCCAGGTTTGTGTTTTTGCTTTTTCCTTTTGAAAAGACTGCAATCTTGAGCAAACAATTAGTGAACAAAATAGTGAATGGAATTAATGCAAATTAGTGAATTGGCACTTATGGAAATTGCGGGCGCTGCGTTGGGCAGACTTGGGGCCAATCGAGTCGAGGGCTTCCCTTTAGCATATAAACATTGTTTCGCTTTGCTTTGCTAAGCCTAAGGGCCTAAGCTTTCGAACAACTCACCTGGACTTAGTCACCTCGCCATGTAGGCGTATGTCCATTCACTATTCCCATTCACTATTTCCATTCGCAATTGTTTTAATCCACTATTCCCATTCACTCTTTCATTTGCTAATATTCACTAAATAATTCTTTTGATGTTTCCAATCTCTACCTCCCAGCGGCAATCTTAAACATAGCGAGCATGAAGGGCATTTGAGCGCCCCCAGAAAGGCGCTTTAGGTGGCTCCACTACCTTAGGCTGTTAGGCTGCACTCGCTTGGGGCGCTGCTCATCTGACACTTGAAGTCCAAGCCGCAAGGTCCCCTCCATGGAGGACAGAACTCTCGCAGAGACCCGGCACTGCTCTCGGAGCTCGGGGACAAGTGGATGTATGCGGATTTTGGGTGCCTGTTTTGGGTCGGATTAAAGGGACACAAAACGAGCACTCCCCGTTTTTTGGGGCCCCTTCTATTTCTTCAAAAGTGAAGCATCGGCGTGTTCGCAGGAAGCGGTACCAGCTTGAGAAGTGAGCGCATTGGACAAGCGCGGGTGAAAGGCAAATTGCCTTTCACCTGTTGAGAGATCTCGCAGCCTTTCATGCTGCCATTCTCGAAAAATATTGTGTGACGGACACCTATTTTCTTTGCTTGTTGCGTTTTCTGAGATAATGATTGCTGTTTGGATCCCTGAGTTCATTATTCAGGAAACCCTGCAAGGCCCAGTCTAGCGTAACTGCAGCAGCAACCTGACAACCCGCAGCAACTGCCGCTGCGCTTGGAGCGCGCCTTACGGCAGCCTGACGAGCGCCCACAGCAGCACCAAGGCAGCGCTGCCAGCCAGCCAGCCAGCCAGGCAGGCAGGCAGGTGGGCAGACGCAGACAGACACACAACCAGCACAGACAGACAGACGCACAGACAGACACACACAAGCACAAACACACACACACACATACACACCAACGCACACACACACAGACACAGACACACAGACAGACAGACAGACAGACAGTAAGAAGCAAAAAAGGAAAGGAGGAAAGAAAGAAAGAAAGAAAGAAAGAAAGAAAGAAAGAAAGAAAGAAAGAAAGAAAGAAAGAAAGAAAGAAAGAAAGAAAGAAAGAAAGAAAGAAAGAAAGAAAGACAGAGAGAGAGGAGAGGAGAGAAGAGAAGAGAAGAGAAGAGAAGAGAAGAGAAGAGAAGAGAAGAGAAGAGAAGAGAAGAGACGAGAAGAGACGAGAAGAGAAGAGAAGAGAAGAGACGAGACGAAAAAAGAGAAGAGAAGAGAAGAGAAGAGACGAGAAGAGACGAGAAGAGAAGAGAAGAGAAGAGAAGAGAAGAGACGAGACGAAAAAAGAGAAGAGAAGAGAAGAGAAGAGACGAGAAGAGACGAGAAGAGACGAGAAGAGAAGAGAAGAGACGAGACGAGAAAGAAAGAAAGCAAGACAGAAACGCAGAAAGAAAGCAAAAGATAGACAGAGAGAAAGACAGAAAGAAAGAAATAAAGAAAGAAAGAAAGAAGGAAGGAAGGAAGGAAGGAAGGAAGGAAGAAAGGAAGGAAGGAAGGAAGGAAGGAAAGAAAGAAAGACAGAAACACAGAAAGCAAAAGATAGACAGAGAGAAAGACAAAGAAAAGCAAGAAAGAGAGAAAGAGAGACAGAGAACCTACGGAAGGAAAACGCATGCAAAGAAAGAGAGAAAGACACCTCGTGGTTGCAACCTAAACCGCCTAGCATTGCAATCGTGGGTGCTGCCGCAATGGCAAGCATAATGAAAAGCAGCAAGTCATAACGTTGGATTGCAACCTTATGCTTGAAAACTTTGGCCTGTGTGCGTAAAGCTCGCAAATTGTAACGTTGGCTCGCGGAACTTGGAAAATAGAATACTTCCTTCTTAGAATATGTTAGCGTTATGATTTGTGGCTTTCTGAAGGGAAGTGTACGCATATGGCATTTTTTTGGCTCGTCGGAACTTGTTGGTGAACCCTCTGCGGGATAACGTTTTTTTTTTTTTCTCCCTCGTTTTTTTCCGGTTTGTAAAGTTGCTTGAACGATTTCTTTGCGCTCCTTAGGGGGGACGTAACGTATAATGATGGAAAGTGAATTAAGGTATGGAGGAGGTGTGGGGTTGTGGTGGAGTTGGGGTTTAGTGGGATTGGGTGGAAGAGGGTGTTGTTGGGTCGGGAGTGGTATGTTGAGGAATTTTAGTTGGGCCGAGTTGTGTTCGATTAAGGGTTTGGCTTCAATGGTGTATGAAGAATATTAAACATATTTCATATTGATTTTTAAATTTTATAATATTCTTAATTTTGAAAAAAACAAAATATGGATGTTCGTATATAAACCGTTTAACATTTATTTTGATATTAATTTTGGTGAAAAAAATGTTTATTATATTGGTGATGTTTTGGTTGTGTTTTGATTGTTGTTTATGGGTTTGTTATAAGAATGTATTGTTGGGTTATAATGATTAATGTAAAATTTATAATTATCGAGCTGAATAACTATTATTTAATTTATTATTTATGTATATTTTCGAAATATATGAGCCACGGACCAAACACACGAAGACCACTTTATCAAGGCGGGGTATGTTTTTGCATAGCGCATGCCAAAACCATGGAAAACGATAAGGTCTCTCCTAAAAACGATAACCCTTAATTAACACATGGCTCTGTAAATACGACACTTGTATTGAGAAGTTGCGATTTTCGAGCTGGAGATATGGAAGTGTACTTCGCATACTAGGCTTGTATTACAAAGCTGCGATTTTCGAGCTGGAGCTGCGGAAGTGTTCTTCGCGTACTAGACTTGTACTACAAAGTTGCGAATTTCGAGCTGGAGTTGCGGAAGTGTATTTCGCGTTTATACTACAAAGTTGCGATTTTCGAGCTGTAGAGGCGGAAGTGTATTTCGTGTACTAGACTTGCACTACAAAGTTGCGATTTTCGAGTTGGAGATACGGAAATGTACTTTGTGTACTAGACTTGTACTACAAAGTTGCGATTTTCGAGCTGGAGCTACGGAAGTGTTCTTCGCATACTAGACTTGTACTGCAAAGTTGCGACTTTCGAGCTGGAGCTGCGGAAGTATACTTCGCGTACTAGACTTGTACTACAAAGTTACGATTTTCGAGCTCAAGATGCGGAAGTGTACTTCGTGTACTAGACTTGTACTACAAAGTTGCGATTTTCGAGCTGGAGATGCGGAAGTGTACTTCGCGTACTAGACTTGTATTACAAAGTTGCGATTTTCGAGCTGAAGATGCGGAAGTGTACTTCGCGTACTAGACTTGTATTACAAAGTTACGATTTTCGATCTGAAGATGCGGAAGTGTACTTCGCGTACTAGACTTGTAGTACAAAGTTGCGAATTTCGAGCTGGAGATGCGGAAGTGTACTTCGCGTACTAGACTTGTATTACAAAGTTGCGATTTTCGAGCTGGAGCTGCGGAAGTGTACTTCGCGTACTAGACTTGCACTACAAAGTTGCGATTTTCGAGCTGGAGATGCGGAAGTGTACTTCGCGTACTAGACTTGTACTACAAAGTTGCGATTCTCGAGCTGGAGCTGCGGAAGTGTACTTCGCGTACCAGACTTGTAAAGTTGCGATTTTCGAGCTGGAGCTGCGGAAGTGTACTTCGCTTACTAGACTTGTACTACAAAGTTTCGATTTTCGAGCTGGAGCTGCGCAAGTGTACTTCGCGTACTAGACTTGTGCTACAAAGTTGCGATTTTCGAGCTGGAGATGCGGAAGTGTACTTCGCGTACTAGACTTGTACTACAAAGTTGCGATTTTCGAGCTGGAGATGCGGGGCGGTATGGTGTACTGAACCGCGCTGCAAAGTTGCGTTGATCGAGCTGGAGATGCGGTGTCACTTCGCGTGCTGGGCTTATATACAAAGTTGCGTTTTCGAACTGGAGATGCGGAAATTGTGCTGCGTACTGAACTTGTACTACAAAGTTGTTGCGATCGAGCTGGACAGCTGCGGAAGTGTACTTCGCGTACTAGACTTGTACTACAAAGTTGCGATTTTCGAGCTGGAGATGCGGAAGTGTACTTCGCGTACTAGACTTGTACTACAAAGTTGCGACTTTGAGCTGGAGATGCGGAAGTGTACTTCGCGTACTAGACTTGTACTGCTCAGTTGCGATTTTCGAGCTGGAGATGCGGAAGTGTACTTCGCGTATTAGACTTGTACTGCCTGCCAAGTTTCGCTTTTCGAGCTGGAGCTGCGGAATTGTATTTCGCAATTTTCGGGCTGGAGCTGCGGAAGTGTACTTCGCGTACTAGACTTGTACTACAAAGTTGCGAATTTCGAGCTGGAGCTGCGGAAGTGTACTTCGCGTACTAGACTTGTGCTAGAAAGTTGCGATTTTGGAGCCGGATCTGCCAAAGTTCGAAAACACTGTAAAACGATAAGGTTTCCCCCAAAAACGATAACGTTCAAAAAAGTACTAAGGCCAAGTAAAGTGTTTCGTCCGCTCCTCATATGGTTATTGTTTTTTGTTAAGAATTTGTTTGGTTTATTTATTTTTATTTTTGTGAATATAATTATGTATATATATATATATTTATTTATAATTAATTTAAATTGTTTTTTTGGATTTTAATATATTTTTTTATTATAAATTTTATTTTGTATATTGTTGAAAAAAGGGTGGTTTTCGTAAATATATTAAATCAATTGTTTATAAATTGATTTCGACAATTTATATATTGATTTTATATAATTGTGTGGTGGGTGAAATATAAAATTATAAATTATTTTACTTGATCGAATTCTCGATAAATTCTTTCGGCAGAGGATATTTGGATTTATTAACAAATGAAATATTCGGTTAAAATCATTTATAATTTATTAACAAATATTTTAAATTAATAATCGATAGAATTTAATTGCAAATGATTTGTTTATTGTGTTATAGATTGCTAATTTTCTAGGCCCCGATTACGGCAAGGGCTGAGCCTCGCTCTCGTTCCTTTCTTAATTTATATTTTAGGAGTAACGATATAGGAATTGAACCTATTATTTATTAATTTCCGAATAATTCTATTAACATACTAAATAAAATTCATTAATAAATAATTTTAACGAAATATTCGATAATGTTTATTAATGATTTATTCTATCAAAATAATTAGCGAAATCCATTTAAGATAAAATCAAAATGATTATATAATTGTTTATAATTATTAATTTCTTCCGGTTTATCTCCCGGTCTCCCCCCCCGACTTCCGTCTTCGTAGTCTCCCTCACAGCCTCCCGTTCTCCCCAATTTCCTCCGGCCCGTCTATCTATCTATATATTTTATTTCTATCTCTCTATATATCTTAACTGGAGACCCAAATATCTAAAGACGAATTGTAGATGGAACTTCTCAGCAGCACCTCAATATACTTCCCAAAGCACTGCGATGCACAAAACAACAATGTATCTCAGGTGCCCGATACCAGCATATAGACATTTAGTCAATAAAAGACAATCGCCTAATTAAAGGAAAAATAAACCCATAAACTATTAACCACAAAAGATCCATCCCCATATACAATTATTATAACGCACACCAAAACACTATCGACCAACAAACATCCTGGGTAGAAACAAAGCCAAACTAA